GGGTATTAACTTATCCGGTTGAACCAAGCCGCCCAAGGCCCAAGGCCCATCCGGGGTATTAACTTACCCGCTTGACCCAGCCGCCCAAGGCCCAAGGCCCATGTTGAACCCAGCCGCCCAAGGCCCACCCGGGTATTAAGTTTCCGGGTTGAACCCAAGGCCCAAGGCCCATCCGGGTATTAACTTACCGGGTTGAACCCAGCCGCCCGAGGCCCGAGGCCCAAGGCCCATCCAGGGTATTAACTTACCCGGTTGAACCCAGCCGCCCAAGGCCCATCCGGGGTATTAACTTATCCGGTTGAACCAAGCCGCCCAAGGCCCAAGGCCCATCCGGGTATTAACTTACCCGTTTGACCCAGCCGCACAAGGCCCAAGGCCCATATTGAACCCAGCCGCCCAAGGCCCATCCGGGGTATTAACTTATCCGGTTGAACCAAGCCGCCCAAGGCCCAAGGCTTAAGGCCCATCCGGGTATTAACTTACCCGTTTGACCCAGCCGCACAAGGCCCAAGGACCAAGGCCCATCCGGGTATTAACTTACCGTGTTGTACCCAAGGCCCAAGGCCCGAGGCACAAGGCCCATCCAGGGAATTAACTTACCCGGTTGAACCTAGCCGCCCAAGGCCCAAGGCCCATCCAGGGAATTAACTTACCCGGTTGAACCCAGCCGCTCAAGGCCCAAGGTCCAAGGCCCAAAGCCCAAGGCCCCAGCCAGAGTGTTAACTTACCAGGTTGAACCCAGCCGCCCAAGGCCCAAGGACCAAGGCCCATCCGGGGTATTAACTTATCCGGTTGAACCAAGTCGCCCAAGGCCCAAGGCCCATCCGGGTATTAACTTTCCCGTTTGTCCCAGCCGCACAAGGCCCAAGGCCCATGTTGAACCCAGCCGCCCAAGGCCCATCCGGGTATTAACTTACCGGGTTGAACCCAAGGCCCAAGGCCCAAGGCCCATCCGGGTATTAACTTACCGGGTTGAACCCAAGGCGCCCAAGGCCCATCCAGGGTATTAACTTACCCGGTTGAACCCAGCCGCCCAAGGCCCATCCAGGGTATTAACTTACCGGGTTGAACCCCCAAGGCCCAAGGCCCATCCAGGGTATTAACTTACTGGGTTGAACCCAGCCGCCCAATGCCCAAGGCCCAAGGCCCAAGGCGAGCTCTGATTGAGTGTTGCGTCCCAAAGCGCCTTACAGCGTTGTAAGGTACCGACATGACCCGTTCTGCTACGTTCTCTCTCACTGTAATGTTACACGACCATATGGAAGTTCTTGCATGGTATGCTTAAATTACTGCTACTTTTCATGTGACTGACTGCAAAATGATGACATATTTAATGATATAATACACTTGTCTGCAGTTAACTAAACATAAGAAAATGGTACCAGTTGATGAATTTGGAGTACAAGTGGATCCTAATAACCAGTTAGTTGATGAACTGCACCTGCTTCTGCAAGTGGAGTTACAGTAAATACCCGCCCACTATTGTCCTATGGCATTCCTCAGGAACTGTACCTTTTCCAACTTAAATGGAAGGGTTACTCCTCGAGAACACACGTTTCCGGGGAAATCATTGCTATGGTATTCTACTGGTGCAGCCTTTTTCCTTGAGTTGTTGTGAATGCCACAGGATGACTGGGTGGAACTGTTGCCTCTGGTGTCATGGTGTGGTCGAATAGAGCCACACACACACACACAGGATTGCTTTCGGCGTTCGACATCAGCTCACGAACAGTTTGTCTGCCCCACTTCAACCTTGCATGCACAGGAAAACAACGAAGGCTCATGCACCATGCATGTCAGCGTCACTGTCAGAATTAGATGTTAGATTAAGGTTTTGTACTTTTTAGGTGTTGGGTCAGTGTCCTCAGGAACAGTAGTTGCATGATGTTTATTTAGAGAGACTAGTTTAGCATGCATATCATCATATGATCTTGAGTTATTTTCTTGCCCCTCCAGCTTTTCAGCTATGTGAAGATGATCATAACAAGCATCTGAAACCAAGTCGAATGCCCAAAGAATGCAATCAAATTCATGGATTGACACACTGCTGCCTCTGCCATTTCAACTGAAGCATGAACATACAACACTCTGTTGTTTGTACATTAGTACACTTGATAACTGGTCATAGAACATGAACTTTATCTGATTAAGATTATGGTAGCAGGCCCCATAACACTCCTTTAACATGCACAAAAAGCCATCCCCCTGCGGCAGAACAGTGCAACTTAAAACTGAGTTGCTCCTATAGCCAACATGTAACATGTCACAATAACAATGTGTGGTATCAATACACTTTGAAACGACCACCATTTACAATAGCAACATCGAGTATGTTGATGATAATCCAATCATACATTAATCATAGAGAAACATCGACCCCTCGCATGGAAAAGCTTTCATCAATCAATCATGGACCGACACGGTAAAGGCCATCGCTCGTGAATTGCCCTTCCATGTACAAGCCATCCGCATTCGGTGGATGAAAACCATCCATCACCATGAGTTGCATGTCCTCGGATGGCCTCCAATGTCGTTTCCGCTGGTTTATAAACCAATTGTTGATTTGCTTCTGATCGAGGCCTGTCAATTCGGCCAGTGCTGCCTTCTCCTTTTCCTGCTCGTCATATAGATGTGTGTTATAACCATTAACAATCCTTCATGCTCTATGAATTATGATTTATGACAAGCAGCAAAGAAAGTAGCTCAGCAGTGGAGTTCTTCCTACCGTGACAGTTTGGCGTGCTCTCAGTTTAATAGTGGAGCATTTCCGTGGCAATTCTGTGATCCGGACTACTTAAGATCACTCGGCTGTTCTCATGTCTTTGCCAAAGTTACCGCAAAGGCAAAGTTTGGAGAGTAGCTCTTGCAAAATATTCAGAATAATAATGATATGGAAAAGATTGTTCCACCCCAAGTGTTCTTTGGCAAACGATGTGAAACTATTTACAGTGTCTTTTTCTAATTCTTTTACTTTTTGTTTGATTTCCATAACAGAGACGATCGGATACTCATTTTTGTCCTTTGAGATAAAAAGCTAATCGATTCAACTTACGATGAAAACGTACACTAGGGAACATTGAACTCATACCGATGGATAAGGCCATTTGTAGTGCAGTTCCCACCACTTGAGTAGCTTCTGCCGTGCATCCTTTGGCAGCTTTCCATTCTTCTTCTTCTTCGACAGCTCTTGCCTAAGGCTGCTCAAATACCCACCATACTTCTTCAGAAGATGAAGCCTCAGCTCTTTCTCCTCAGCGCACGGATCGAACTCCTGAAGACCGACTTCTCCACAACTAGCATCCTGGTCCTCCTCCGAGGATGCAACACCTTCGCATGCTTCAGCTGCAGGTTCCAAAGTAGAACTAGATTGAGTGGACAAAAATAAAAGAGAATTCTCAATTCTCAATTCTCAATTCTCAAACTGGAAAACATATGGATTTTTCGGCAATGTTTACATAATCCATTTCTGCATTAAAAACAAGTCTTGAAAAAGTTATCATGAAGTCCAAAACAAATTACTATCAGAGACTACATTCCTTTTTGTGGCACACAAAAATCATCGAACAACATCAAAAAGGCTTCGGTGTTGTAATGGATAAAAGGATGCACAGAGTGGAACTGCTTATGTCGAAGCATATTTTCTCAGCAATCAAATGTATCACGCTTAAACAAGGCAAAATAAGTGCACAGCACTGATTAGATAACTCATATATGGTCTCACTTGTTTATAAAGAATTAGACAAATTTTTCAGATGAAAAGTACTATTATCGTTTTCAGGCTGTTTTCGTTGTTGCACAAAAGATGGAACTGCAAACCACATGTGCAATTATAAACAGGGAATGCAACCATCAAACAAAAAAGGTCAGGTTTCTTCAGAAAGAAAATGTACGGGAACTTAACAGATTTAGTCATGTATTATGTCTGTTTAAATACAGAAAAAATGACATTAATAAGTAATAGCAATTGGATGAAATAAAGAGATTTCCGAAGACACAAAACATAAAACACCTAAGTATGATATCAAGTGTTGCACAATAGAATGAGTTCAAACAATATTTAGCCCATGCATTATTGAATTAAATATATATCGATATCAGTTTTTAATTCTTTCAAAAAAAAAAAACATGGTGCAGAATTTACACTGCTAAAGTGTCTTTTCATCATATTCTTTTTTAATCACCTATTCTCAATGTTTAGTTACTTGCACTTGTCTACTCTGAATGATGAGTTAGAGACCACAGAAACATCCTTCAATTATAATTGCAGATTTGTAAGCAGCATTTGATCTGATTTCCTTATCAACTGCTTTATAGGAAAAGAAAAAGCACACCCTATTAGATAAATTTTGCGGTTTCCAGTTATGATGTAGTTGGAAGGGACATGGTTATTTTGTGATTATGCTGTTGGATTAGAAGTAAAAGTAAAATGATTTCTAAGAAC